CAATATACTCATCCAAAAGCTTAGACACTTACTGTTTAGGGACAAAAATAATTTTAATAAACATCCACAAGGCTTTATATTAGGGCATTACAATTGTTTGACATTGCCTACAAATGAACCAAGTATCCTTGCTAATATGCACAATCCTTCAATACACAAAATAGTGTTGGACATATTACACTCGCGCAACGCGCGATCAAATTTCTAGTTTGTTAATAAGTGTGGCGTATTAAAGGAACTCTCTAATATCTGAAAACTTTAACTCATAATGAAATGGATCCTTGAGAAAACCTAGAAGATGGGTGCACGCACTGAAAGCTTAGAAGCAAGATTTGTTCAAGGAGTGCCGATTTAGCCATCAACACAGTTCGTTTCAATATCGAATGATATACCGATTACATCTGATTCTTATATCGATAGGCTCATGAAGTTTCCCAGCGTTCAATTCCAGCAACGTCCAGTTCAAGATTTTTGAGATGGGGTTGTGGTTTTGGTCTGGCATATTATTTGGCCGAGAGTTATGTCCGCTTCATGTGAGCGTGTATTTTGTTCTTTTCCTAGCAATGTCTGGAGGTTGTGTCTTCCTCATCGGTGTAATCAATCGAGTGGTTCATTATTCATGGTTGACAAGACAGATTTATTCTGAAGCTCCAATTACTCGCCCTCCTCCTGAACCTCCACCTTACTCGAAGAAAAAGATAGCGCTCAACAAGATCTCCTTTTCGGTGGATGGTCAAACCGATGATCCAAACAATTTCTGCTCAATTGAATTTTCTTTGTTGGTTGATGGTCAAACCAATTCTCCCTTTCCGGTAGCTGGTGAAGCCGGATCTCTTAGTTGCAATTTTTTTTTCTCTTTGGAGTAGCAAGAAGAGTAGCAACGGTGTTAGACTAGACTACATTGGATTAGCGATATGGAAGGATTCATTGAATTTTTTTCGTTCTATGTCTCTTCCCATTGTAGCCTTAGTCTATTCGTTCTCTTGTATCTTTGTTATGTCTTATTAATAAATTGGTTATTTGATTTTCAAAAAAAAAAAAACTGTGACTTATTAAAAACATCCTAATCCTAGCGTTTCAATTCAATTGGTCAAGCCAAACTTCTATTCTAAAAAGGATGACACCCCATCCCTGAGGGCCCCCACCAGACTTCTATTCTTAATCTATACATGGTCACCAATTTCCAGCATTTCTATTTTAAAAAAAATTAATCCCAACGTTTCTTTTCTTAAAAAATATTATTAAAATAAAATTTATTTACGCAAATATGACTAATGAGTATTACAATGTAATGTCATGATAATTTAAGTTTAAAAATTGAACATAAGTTATTATGATTCTATTACTACTGTAATCACTAATCAAATTTTTATAAACAATCTTTATTTTAATCATAAATATGTAATTATTTAAAAAATAAAAACTTTCATGTCCAAATAGTACTTGGTCCAAACATTTTATCTTTATCGTTACAAAATAATACTCTGCAATAATCCTTATACATACAATACAAAATATAATAATGCATGATACATAATACATAATACATAATACAAATACGAAATACTCACTCCGTATTTAATGGTTTGGTACACTTTCCTATTTGAAATGTATTTAAAATTTTGCTTCCATTTGGATAATTTTTTCCTTTAAAAATACCCAATTATCCTAATTTTTCCTACCTTTTCACCTTCTCTCTTACTTTTTCAATAGTATTCATTACCTCTATTATTTCTCTCTTAAAAATTGTGTCTAGTCATCTTTTAGGGGTGTCTTCAATTAGGAATTCATAGGAAAAGTCATGAATTCCTAAAGGATTAAGATTTTAATGGATTGATATGGAATTGTATAAAATCTGTGGGATTCTAATCAAATTCCATGGAATTTCAAATCCAACTTCCACCCTAGATTTCTCGCCACCATGAAACATCGATCCAAGATTTCTCGCCTTGGACTTGTTCCTCTCCCTCCAAGCTCTTATTTATACTATTCTTCCCACCGTAAAGCCTTTGCCACTCACCTACTTGGAGATTCTATTGTCAATCTTGGACAGATTATGGAATGCACCAATTCGAATCACTTTATTCCTCTTTAGCTCTTCAAGATCTGCGTTTTCAGTTTTGACCAAAAGAACATACAGTAGAACATACCAGTAGAAAGAAAGGAAGAATATATGTCCAGATAAGTTATGGGGGGCGGATATAGCTACTTGCTTCTCAACGGAAAATCCGTTGAAATCCGAAGGGTGTGCAAAGATTTTCAATCGTATTTTTCCTTTGTATTTTAGGCGTTAAAATCCATGGAAATCCTTAGCAATCCAAGTGTTATAGAACCCTTAAGAATCCATAGACATTTTGAGGACACCAAAATTCTTATAGACTCCATACAAATCCAAATCCAGGACACCAAAATTCTGATATAATTCTAAATTCCCTTAAAATCCATAAGAACTCATATTGAGGACACCCTCACACCTCCTTAAATATGGAGGAAGTATAAGAAACATGAATAAGAGTGAGGCTATTTTAGACTTTTACTCTGTAGGTATTAAGAATTTGTTGGTGTAAATGTATTGCTAAACTGACATGTACTAAGGGTCTGTTTGTAACAGGTTCTGCTTTTAAAAAATGCTTTTTTTAATGAAATGTGGAGAAGTGATTAAATAAAAGTTGATAGTGTTTGAGAAAAAAGTGATTTTGAAAAGTAAAAGTGAGTAGTGTTTGGTAAAATAAGTGCTTTTTGTGTAATAGAAAAAGTAAAAGCACTTTTGACGCGGAAGCCGAGAAAAATAAAAGTTGTAGTGTTTGGGAAAATAAGTGCTTTTTTATAGTCAAAAGCTGAGAAGTGCTTTTTTAGAAGCAGTTGCAAACCAACCCTAAAAGAGTGTTTGCAAGAGATTATTTTAAGTGCTTTTGAGCTTCTAGCTTAAAAAAAGCATAATTTAGTGTTTGCAAACACTAGCTTCTACTAAAAAATGGTGCTTTAAAGCTAAAATCTAGAAGCTGGGGTTATGGTGCTTTTTTCTGCTTCTTGACTTTTCTGTAATTAAATTGAACTCTAGGGATGGTTATGATGAGAAATTATTTATCTTAAACCCAAATTACCCTTTCCCTTCTCTCTGTCGCATCTTCCCACCAACCTCTGCGTCTCTTCTGTTGCTGCTTCTTTCTCCCATACGCACACACTTCTTCTTTCTCCTCTACGTTTTTATGGCTTCTCCAATTTCTCTAACTGGGTCATAAAGAATTGTGTATGAAATGGATTTTGGGGAATTGTAAAATTGTTGGTCCATCCTCTTTGTTTAGGGTCTTAGGGATGGTTGGTGATTTCGACGTCTTTGTTGGTCGGTTGAAGTTGATGATAGCCGGCAGATTCGGATTTCCGATGGATACTCGATAAATAGCTCGGAGTATATCTTTGTCGGTCTAATGAAGTTGATTAGTATTCCAGATGAGAAAACGGTGTTTTAGAGGGGTGTTTGTGTACTTTGATAAAATATTACAACAAAATTCATTTTTTTATCAAACACTACAACTTTTACTTTTTCATCAAAATCACTTCTATTCTAAAACACTATCAACTTTTTCTAACAATCACTTTCTCCAAAATCACTTTAAAAAATCATTTTTTTTAGTAGAAGCAAACGCAAACACTCTCTAAATAATTAGAAACAATTATCCCCCATATGACTAAAACTCTTTCACTTTCTCAATCTATGACCTAACTAGTTTTTTCCCAAAATAATACCTAAATTCATATAATTTAATAATAATTCGTAATTAATAAATAAATAAATATTTTTATGGACAAATATACCCTTTACGCTATACCTATAAAACCCTAACATCCCTACTCTTTTTCTACAAAACCTAGCAACTAGCCGCACACATCCACCCGCCTCTTACGCTCACCGCACACCCTGCTGCCGCCATCCCCCGGACCACTGCACGCACCCATGACCGCCGTCCACCAGTCCATCTCTAGTTCCACGTTTGTTCGCCGTTGTCGCCGCCAACGATCACGCCAGTACGCCACCGCCATCCCTACACCTGTGCGCCGCTGTCGTCTCGAGCCGGGGGCGCCGCCTCCATCCTGATTCATGCTCGTCAACATCGTCCCAAGCCCTGAGCGTTGCCGTCCTCGTCATCGTCCAGCCGCACGATTGCACTCGATCCAACTCGCTGCCACGCCCCTCTGCCTACAACTCAGATTCTTCAGTCAAGGCGGCCAAGGTTGATGGCGAACCGAGGTTGAAGACGAACCTAGGTTGAAGACGATGAAATAAGTGTGCAATGAATAATTTATATTTAATGCCATGAACATCACAAGAAGCGCAATGAGTTATGACAAAACGTGCAATGATATGGCAAGAAGTGCAATAATGTAAAAAGTGTAATGACATGAAAAATAAGTGCATTAAAAATGACATGAAAAAATATCTATAAATTCGTAGCATTATATGTAATATTTAACCAAATGTAAGAACTAAAGTTATGAAATCTAAAAAACGCTAAATTCATTTTATGTAATGTTATGTCGTGCAGTGAATACTGCCATAAAGTGCAATAAATGTAGTGCAATAACGCCTTCATGAAGTGCAATATTTTTACCCGAACGAAATTAGTGTAAAATGCATATTTAAAAAAAAGGATATTTTTGTCCTTCCACAATTTAATATAACGAAAAATTCTTTTTTTTTCGATTTTTGGTCATATTTCGAGAAAAAAACATAACTACTCACATTTCGAGAAACTCACTTTGTTCTAGTCATATCCCGGGAATTTTTCCAAATGATTACTTCCTTTCCTTTGTACCTCATTCCAGCTTAATACACTCGCACTACTAAACGCCGTCTGTCCCGTTAGTGTGACCTCACCACCCACCTCTCTCGGCCGCACGCCTCCGCCTGCGCCACATCGCCTCCTGCAACAACCCGTTTGTTCTCCGGTTTAGATCAAGTTATGGAAATTGGAAGGGCTCTCTCCCCCTTCCCCTTATGAATGCATAGTGTTCTACTGGCAGAGGTTCTTTCCTCGTACTAGTCGCTCTTGTTATCTTTCAGGTGAGGCTTATAACCATTCTAGCCTCTTACATATACCTTTATTTGCTTTTCGCAAAAAAAAAAAAAAACCTTTATTTGCTCAATTGCACTTACGGACATTCATAAGGTGCTGGGGTTATAGTAGCAGGACTAGCAGAGAGTTTATATTATTGAGTATATTTAGCCGAAATCAGTTTAGGATTGCATTTTTAATTTGCTTTCCAATATTAGTGAAAACTAAACCTACGAACTGTTCGTTTATATGCCTAATAGAGACATAGAGTGCTTCCATTGTTATTCATTTCAATTCACAAAATATCCTAATCTATATCCACATAAGACTACCAGATTCTCACTTTGAAGGAGATTTTTTGTCATGAATTAAACTCTGGGTGCACAAATGTCATATTTAAGAGTTTAATCATATTGGGTGTTTGTTACTGCAATGCGACCTGTTGTTTTCATATGGGGCAGTACTGGTAGTATATTTAGTAGGATAAACTTGTAAGATGCTTCACATATTTGTTTATATATTGAGTAAAAATTGTAGTGTGCTCATTTTAAAGCAAAAATGTAACTGTGAAGACTAAAAAGAAACATGAATCTCCAAAAAAAAGCATACAGATTAAGTATGGTCACCTTTTCTTTGGCCAAACACAATAAATTGCAGCCTATGGCTCTTATCGAACTGCAACAATTTTAAACTTTGTAGCCTATTCTGGGAACAGACGACGAACTCTTAGGATTCATGTGCCAGATTTTGCTATCACTGTTAGTATCAAACAATCTATCACAAAGCTTCACTTCAGTTATCTCATTATAATTAGAGAGCCCTTCACCTGTAGTTAGCTTGAGATCTTTGAGAACTTCAGTTGTGGGTCCATGATGAAGCCCCCAGTAAGCTCGAGAAATTCTACTTGAATGAACTAAGTGACCCAAGCATCGCCAAGAGTCTATATGTGACCTGTGAAGTATAAAAAATAATAATATTACGTTTCAAGAACAATCCACCAACGAGGCAACAAATAACAGAGTAAAAGTATCTATTAATCTGAGAATATGAAAAATATAATTTAAGCTGCATAACAAATGAAGAAAAATAAATAAATAACCTCTACAGCTCTTCTGCACTTGTTCCATCTTGAAGTAAAAGAATAGTCCATTGATGAAGTAACAAATTCAGGCATATTATCCCTCTCCTCAGTGGATAAATAGAGATTGCGTTGCTCAAAAAAATTTCATCTTGAGAAGTTGAGCAATTTTTGTTCTTTTTAAGAAAGCCTTCAATGAGTGAAGCTTGTTTTTGTAAAGATAGTTATTTTCCCAAACCAGCCATTTCCTTCTCCTAGCGTCACTGTTCTTTCTCAGCTTCCTCTTGTTGCTTCTCTATTTTTCTTTTTAGCTCAGGTTCTTTTTATTTAGATGAAGGAGAAAAGATTGATCTTGTAGGCATCTTTTAGAAAAGATTGATCTTGTAGGCATCTTTTAGAAATTTAAGAGCATATTGGTGTTAAAACAAAGCTTATCGTTTTTGTTTTTTATTGCAAGCCTCTGCAAATACAATTTGAAGATATATGTTATAGCCGTCTCAATCATTTAGCTTGTTTCTATGAAATGCCTACAAAGTTTTTTCTAGGAAAAATTTAAAACTATGGAACACACACTTTTTGAGCATTTTTGTGTTAATAATAAAATAAGTACAAGGAAAGAAGGATGGGTATAAACCAAATCTTATAACCAACAACTTTATAAGGGTATATCGCTCATAAAGACTTTCGTTTTACATATACGATACAGGCAAAGGTAATGCATTAGTTTTTAGTCATGTTAGCACTATTCATTAAATTAGTAAATATTCTTATGTAGATAAGAGAGGAAATGATGTATCACATCATCATTTTTAGCAATAAGCGAGCTGTAAACTAGCTGGAATTAATAGTAACCGTTTTCTTTGCTTTTTCACTTCACAGTTAATAGTTTTATGCTTTAACATGTCAATAAGTATTCAGAGTTAAGTCTCAAAACATTTCCATTTAATACGATTTCTGTAATTGGAGTACAAAGTTATAGCGTAGAAGGTAACTTGCCTAACTTCCCTTTTCCCAAAAGGACAAATCTTTCACATTATTATATGTTCACTCTATTAGAGAATACAGAGTATTATTCATAGTAAACTATTATAGTATGGAGTACTATGATTCACTAACCTCCAAAATGAATCTTGAAACTAACTATAAAAAACTAGAAGCAATTGAGTTTGGAATTCCACAATTCAGAACTTAAACATATAATCCTTGTCCATTCTTTGTTTATTTTTGTTTATTAAGTTTTATCATTTATACATAGGTATCAAGTAACACATTAAATTTGCAAACATCGACTTTATTCCGATTGACATTCATTTAGCTCCTTGCATTTAGAATTTAGTTCTCATGGGGACATGATTCTATTGATACACTCTGTTTATGCTACGATGGATGCATTAATTACACATTTGTTTTTCAAAACCTTTAATATAGAATATTGCCTACATATTAAGTTATTGGACCTTATGGCATGATGTCATGTGGCGCCAATTGTAGCGGTCACACCCCAATTTTTTAAGACGATCCCATTCCTTTTTTGTCATAAAAATCCATTACTGCAGTTTTATGCATTAATAGTCAAACGCCAACAGTTTTATTCTTCTAAATATTTAATATTTTATCATAAGTAAGTCTGTTTCTTTGCTTTTACAAGCATGCACATTATTTGTTTATTTTTCCTTCTACTTAAATAGATAGTTCACGGTAGGGAGGGCCAAAACACTTGGATCGGGAAAATTGGCCATCTTCTCTATTGTATTTAAATTTATTTTCTTATGTTTCAAATTATAAGTGCAAAAACTATGCAAGGCATTTGTGTTAAATGAGAAAGCATCTTTTTGTTTGAACAGTGATGATAATATTGAGGCTATTCTATTTTCTCTTCAGTTTAACATTCACCCTTTCTGCTCTTCCACTGCCGGCTGCCCTTAATCACCGTCCTAGGCTGCAGACTCGGCGCCCCTGTGTGCCAGTAAAGTATCTCATGTATTCTACTATACTAGTATTAGTTACTTAGTTATTGTTATAATTTTGAAAATATGCTCTGAATTTTCTTATTAAATGTCATTTAATCGAGATACTTTTTATGTAATAAGAATGTGGAATTGACTATTAGCTTCGATCTCCTCTCAGTCTTTCCATGTACCCAATCCAATTTTCTTCTCAACGGGCTTGAAAGCTTTTCCCAATTTCAGCTTTCTAATGCACTTGTCATGTATTTCTTTTATTCTTTCCATTCTTATCAGGCCGTTTTCGGGTTCCTATCTGTTGATAATCTAGTTTTGAAAGGAACTTGCGAGTTGCAACCATGTTGTTCGATAAAATTCCTCAAAGAATGCTGCAAGTTTTGACTATAGCTTCTTAAGTTGAGATGCTAGGTTTTTGTCCAGTTTATTTTGCAATATGAGCTATTTAGGTGCTATTTTCAGCTCATTTCATTAACCGGGAGACTGGTGTGTTTTCTGTGTTTTGTCACACATTCCAACTCCCAGGCGTGTATGCTTTAGATGTATATATATCAAATGGTGTTCTTATACTCAATATAACTTATTTATTGTAGTGTATTGTATTTGGTATATTTCGCTACTGAAGTTTTTTGTTACAACCGAGTTGGCGCCCAGTTGCCCTAGGCGCTAGGCAGTACATAAGTGCATTGCCGCCTAACTACCACCTAGAGAGTTTTAGAACATTGATTATGAGTAATAGACATTCAGCAGAAGCTATCTGATCAGCCCAATCTTTTACTTTTTCAGCTCATTTCGCCCCTCCCAGGCTCCCACTACTCCGTTGTTATAGATAGATAGATTTTATTGTTAGTTTACATTAACCTAGCATTCTGTAATGATATGCTAGTTTTTCCTAGTAAGCTGTTTATCTTAGTAGTGGTTCCATGTCGACATGCTGTATGGTGCTATACTACCACTGTTATGTGCAGTATTTAGCAAGATCAAAGTTAAAATCTGTGGATGATAAAATTTAGAAAGCATTTCATACTTTTCTTTGATCATGGTTTCTGAAAGTTTCTTTCTTAATTGTGACTAGTTGCGCTAGCTCATGAGATTTGTATTGCTATAATTTGTTCTAAACTTCTAATTGATCTGTCAACATGCAAACAAGGTCAAGGCATTTACTGTTTTATTCTTAGAGTAGTTTTTTAGTCACTGCTCACTAAGTTTATTCATGGTGCTTCGCCTTGTTTTTTCAATAGCTATTCCTCACCTTAGATTATATTTAACAATTGAGTTATGTTCTAAACTAGTGCTCTTCTTTTTATCGCTTTATTTACTTCTTTTTCTTTGATTGTGTTATCAGCCATGTGACGAACGTTATATTCATTTAATATATTCGTTGGATTTGACGATAAAAAAAACTAGTGCTCTTCTTGAATAGACATAATAGTTTATGGTATACTTTTTATACAACTTGCTAATAATTTTCCCACTATATATGTCCATGTTATATATTCTCGAATTGAAAGAGTATTTCTTTTTTCAGCTTAGTTTGAAAATGGCGGCTTACTTGTGGAGAAAATATGCAGATTACTTGTACACAAAGTGGGAAAGGACAATTCTTTGGGACATGGTAGAGCCATACAGAAGACCAAAGACATTTACTCCGCTTGTAACAGTTTACATCTGTGCCTTTTATACTGGTGTCATTGGTGCAGCCATCACTGAACAACTCTATAAGGTTCATACTTTCTTGGGAGCGTAATTTGTTGCACCTTGTCACCTTCATTTTGAAAGAACTCATAAACAACTTATATTTGTCTCTCATCCAAGAAGTTTATATTAATGTTATTTGTGCGATTATGATCAGGAGAAATACTGGGAGGATCATCCTGGAGAATCAGTACCTTTGATGAAACCAATATTTTATGGTGGGCCTTGGAGAGTAATGAGAGGGGACGTTCCTCCAACTGGAAAATTTGAGTTTTGAAACGGCTGCTGATACTTTACACCCCCGCATAGGCCCCTCCCTATGTCCATTTTGTTCCAAGTTCCAAACATTTGTGCATAAGATATGTGCCTTGTCATCTTTGCATGTTCCAGTGGCTGTTTGGAGTGTGGATTTTTTTGCATCCCCCTTGACCTTCCCAAATGTCTATTTTCATGGATTGTGGAGCATGTTAGATGGTTTTATACATAATAGTCTAGACTCTAGAGAAGTATTCAGTTATAGAAATAGAATTGGAGGCATGGGGGTCCCCTTGGTGACTTTTGCTTTGATTAAAATCGGGGGATAAAAAATCCATTTCTGGTGCCTTTTAAGATTATGGTTTTGTTGGTATGACAAGAATCCCTGTTTTCCCCTTTGTAGTTGTGGCTTCATTTTGTTACTTGGAACATAGTGGTTTTTCTGCTGTCTCAGTTTGCAGATTGAACTGATTGAATTGATGTTGCTTTTGTTCTTTCTTTGTGAATTGTGGCTTGCTATTTGTTATGCTCATTTTGGGGTGAATGTTTCTACAGATGGTCATTAGGTTGATAATTGATATCATTGATGTGATCGGGTTATCACTTATGCAATTGGAATTTTGGAATGGTGTTATCACATCAATTAAAGCTATTTTCATTAAAATGATAGATTTGTTAATGCATGTGATTAAAAGGTCCAATCATAAAAACAAAAACAGTATGTCATAAAATAATGAAGATGAAAAATTTAGCCACTTTACTATCAAGCTAGTGAGGTTACAAGCTCACATAACAACCAATTTGCTTCTTTTTAAGACTGTTTTGTCTTTTGCACGCATATGTAACAGGTTTTTGAACTTCTTCCTTTAACTAGATATACTTCGAAAACTATATGAGTTCGAAAAGTCCTTTTTTTTTTGTATCCAAAACAAGATATAGAATTATATGGATTGTTTATATTGTTGTGGAGTCCATTTCACTAGTATTTGGACATAGTTGATAATATAATATCGATTGCATGTATATGACCTAGCATTTATAATCCTTTTTTGGGATGAAACCATCCTCTATAATATCACTCACGGAACATATGCATCGTATGTTGCAGACGTGCAGCTGTGCAGCTGTGCCTCCTCTTAGCCTCTTAGAGTCTTAGGAATGCTATTGTGTTAATTTGAGTTTTGCACAAATTGGAGTGGCTTGTTAGAATTTTGTGATTACAAACATGGAAAGTAAATTGTTTTATAAGGAAATATCTTTTTTTTTGTGAAATTGATACCAATAATCTATACTTTTAGCCGTTCTACACTAATAATCCCTACTTAAGATATTGATGCAAATAATCCAAACTTGTAAACAGATTCACATAAGCAAATTAAATGAAACGGAGTTAACGGTTCATTTGATATTCCTATATCACGTGCACCTCTTCGCTTACCTCTTTCTTCTTCTTCATCTACCCCATCCCCTGTCACACACTCACCTCCCTGTAAGTTGTTACTTCTTCCCCCTTCTTTCATTCAAGCTTCAACAGTTTTTTATTTTATTATACTCCCTTCGTCTCGTTAAGATTGTCTCATTTTACCTTTTTGGGAAGTCCCACTAAAATTGTCTCATACCAAATTTGGTAAAGTTTGTGTGGCTCTAAGCCATTCTTACTTTATTCTTACTTTATCAATTTAATATCAACCACACAAACCCACTTTTCTTAATAATCGTGTCACCTTCTCTTGTTCCAATCTTAGTGGGACAGAGGTAGTATATATTTTTTTCATTTTAGTCAAACTTCGGATGCACCTATTGAAGACAAGATGCGGGAGTCTCGCCTACGGTAGTTTGGTCATGTGCGTAAAAGACCGAATGATGCACATGTCAGACGTGTTGAGATGTGTGGAGAAGAGGTAGGGAAGACAGGGAGAGGAAGACCCAAAAAGACGTGGGTTAGGGCAATACGAAGTGATATGCTTCTTCTTGGGTTGGATGAGGGTATGGCTTTGGAGAGAACAAAGTGTAGGGCGGACATTCGTGTGGAGGAGTGATCTCGTATTATTATTATTATTATTATTATTATTATTATTATTATTATTATTATTATTATTATTATTATTATTATTATTATTATTATTATTATTATTATTATTATTATTATTATTATTATTATTATTATTATTATTATTATTATTATTATTATTATTATTATTATTATTATTATTTCCCTCATCTTTTTTTCTTCTTGTTTTTTTATTCTTTTATCCTTATATATAAACATTATTTTTATCCTTTTTATTTTATCATTTTTAAGTATATTCATCCTGTTTTATATTATCGTTTTTATAAAAGCTTATTTTTTATCTTTATTTTCTTTCTTTTACTTTTGGTGGTATTATCATGTATCGATTCATATTAGCCGACCCCAATATCTTTTGGGACTGAGGCTTGAATGTTGTTGTTGTTGTAGTCAAACTTCTCATAACATGCATTCAGGCCTGGTCCTGACATTTAATGGGCCCGGGACAGTACAAATAGATTAATGGGCCTCAGGGATAACGCGGGAATGTTTTTTATTTTCGTTTTGCTATAATAATCTACAATTTAAAATTATACAATTTTACCGTCCAAATACTAGTATAACACATAAAAAAGCTAACAAAGCATATGGTTAGAAAATACTATGTATATATATAGGGTATTTGATAAGTGACATTCGAGGATACAACGTACCTAAGAGACGAGTGAAACAAGTGGTGCAACTATTAGGTGCAATAAAAATTTTAATTAAGGAATGTTGTGAAATTCTATCTTGTATAAAGAGTAATTTTTTCATATTTTAAATTACATTTTCACTAGACAAAAACAAATTCTACGTTTCGAAATTTTGGACACTAAAGTTCAATATATATTTCACTAAATGAGAGAATCGGAGGAAATTTGTGAATTGTGAAATATATCAATAAATTCTGGATATACATAAGACATGTACACTAAAAGATTAAAATTAATATAATATCCCATAATGATTCAAAAGAATTAGTGAAATATGTTCCCAATGAATTCTAATGTGGATGTTTCGAAATTATATACTTGTACCGTGTAGATGCTGAATAACTAATTAGAAGTATCTATAAAAAATAAGTTTTTTTACCTTTTATAGATTTAGGATGCACATATAATTAAAATATCGATGTACACACACGCACACATATATTTAAGAAATTTATGGGTCCTACTGGAGCAAAAGGTCATGGGCGCATGCCCCTCTTGCCCATACCCCAGGACCGGCCCTGCCTGCATTTTGTACTTCGTGCTTTTTGGGTGAGCTTTGCACTTCACCTACTCCGTATTATCTTTGCTTGCCCAGGAGGGGGCCTCAAGAATCACATTGAGGATGAAGCTTTATATGTGTGTATACATTGGGGCTTCAATTTTACTTTTGAGAACTGATAGTTGTAGTTTTTAGTATTGGAACTAACGAATTTTGCTCCTCTAAATTTAGAGGTTATTCACCTTTAAAATTAGCTAGGGATTGTGGTGTTATAATTTTCCAATCATACAATTTAACATTCAAAAAAATATAATCAAGTCCATATGATAAATCATTAGGACATGGAGTGAATAACTAAAAGTGATGATAGCATCGTATGAAAAAAAATCAAGTGTTCGGCAGACATAAAAAGTTTGAAAAAGAAAACAAAAGAGGAGCACAACCGGGGAGGGAAGATGGTCAGATGGGCATACGTAGAAGAGGATGATGGTATTGGTAGGTGGGATGGATGGGATAAGGGTAGTAATATCAAACGGAAGCTTTACCTCCGTTTCATTTAATCTATTTATTTGAATGTGTTTAAAAGTATGGATTATTTATATCAATTCCTTTAGTAAGGATTATTATTGTAGAACAGCTCAAAGTAGAGATAGTAGAGATTATTGATGTGAATTTCACCTTTTTTTCGTTAAACAATGAAGGTATTTTGTAAATGGCCTATCTGACTTTAATTTTTAGATTGATTTTGAATGTTTGGCATAGCCAAACAACTGGATTTGGTAAAAAACATTTTGACTATTATGCAAATAAGCTAAAAATGAAAAACTGTTTTGAGTAGTTTTTCATATTATCCATTTGATTTGATGTTTCAAAAGTCTAATTTACCTTCTAATCACACTTCTTTTGCTAAATAACAGTTTGAGTTAAATATGATCTGACTTTAATTTTTAGATTGATTTTGAATGTTTGGCATAGCCAAACAACTGGATTTGGTAAAAAAACATTTTGACTATTATGCAAATAAGCTAAAAATGAAAAACTGTTTTGAGTAGTTTTTCATATTATCCATTTGATTTGATGTTTCAAAAGTCTAATTTACCTTCTAATCACACTTCTTTTGCTAAATAACAATAAAATTGCAATAACAATAAATATTATATCACACAGTCACGTTTTATAACATTATTTTAAAACTGGTAAAATTTAAAAAGTTAAGATAGTAATAATACAGTAATACAAAAATTAAATGAATGTGTGTGGGTATGTGTGTATATATACTTGTTTAAAGTAACAGTACTAGTAGTAATTATATAAAATAGTAATAGCATGTGCTATTTTAAAAAAATCCAAAACTTATCAAAAGAATATATGCAAAAAGTATGTAAAAAATACTTGTTGTGAAATGAAGAAGATGAAGACTAAATAAAGAGATAGATATATTGATAAAAAGCTCTAAATAACTTCTTCTTAATAATCTCTGAAATTTTCTGAGTTTCTGAATTACTTGAATTAATTTTACAAAGGATTGAATGCCCTATTTATACTAGCCAGACTTGGGATGAATCATCTAGGAATGATTCTACATAATTTGCTGGCAACATTAAACCTAAACATCTGTCTATTACAAGGACTGGAATTGGATTAGTGTCCTGATGACAAGGATGAAACATTCACACTTGTCATTCTCAGGAATTTACAACACTCCCCCTTGAATGTTCATCCTTGAATATGTATTTGTTATCTTATTGTGAAAATGAGTGTGAAAATTAAGGGGTAAAAATTACGACATATAATGTCGTTGTATTTGGATGTATTGTCTCATTAAAAACCTTATCAGGAAAAACCCAATGGGATAAAAACCTGATGAAGGGAAAAAGAGTGCAGTGCATTCAAATACTCCCCCTGAAATTAACATAAATTTTGAAGGCGGCGCATGCCGATTTTCTGTATAAGTTCAACGAACTTCTTTGGGGGTAAAGATTTGGTGAAGAGATCAGCTGGATTTTCACTGGATCTGATTTGCTGAACGTTGATCGTCCCTTCTTTCTCAAGGTCGTGAGTAGAGAAAATTTTTGGAGATATATGTTTCGTTCTATCTCCTTTGATGTAGCCTTCTTTAATTTGAGCTATGCACGCAGTGTTGTCTTCGTAGATCACAATAGGGTAAACAGTAATAGGCTTCATACCGCATTCATTTTGGATGTGTTGAATCATAGATCGCAGCCACACGCATCCCCTCCCGGTTTCATAAAGTGCAATTAACTCCGAATGATTTGATGATGTAGC